AATAGAAGAGCTTTTGTTGGTCTAAATGTATAATATCTGTGCAAACGTTATCCAGAAATGACTGGTCGTGTGAGACCACAATCAGTGTCTTCTTCCAGTTCTGGAGATAGTTGTCTAACCAAATGACGGCATTCAGGTCTAAATGATTGGTCGGTTCGTCGAGCAGAAGAAGCGTGGGCTCCATGAAGAGGGCGCGCGCGAGAGAGACCCTCATTCTCCAGCCGCCGCTGAAGTGATGAGTGGCCCTGTCCTGCATCTCACGTGTGGTGAATCCCAAACCGGCTAATATACGTCGGGCTCGCGATTCCGCGCTATCGGCGCCCATTGCGCTCAACTGAGTGTATATCTCATTGATTCGGTCACTGTTTTGGTCGCCCTCTTTAGCCAACAATTGATCCAATTCTTCCTGGAGTGCAACTCTCGCCGTATCGCTTCTGAGCACAACATTCACAGCACTGGTTTCATCAGCCATTACTTCCTGTTCGCACAGCAATACATCCAATTCTTTTGGTAAATGAAGAGCTCTCTTGTCGGCGATATGTCGCATAAGAGTTGTCTTTCCGTAACCGTTGGGTCCAATCAGACCATAGCGTCGACCCATTGTTATAGAGAGCGAAGCGTTCACTAATAGCTCCTTTCCGGCGGCGCTTATCGTAAAACAGTCCACTTTTAGTGAATTGTCTATTATTTGTGCCGATTGTGTGATAGACGTCGAGACAGTGAAGTTAGTGTCCAGTTGTGGAATCAGTTCCGCTTCTTCTGCTTCTCTCTGTTTTAGTAATTTTAGTTTCCGCTTCTCTTTATGCGTCAGTTTCTTCATTTTGCTGTCAATCACATCCATGTCTTCATTACTTTCCGTCACTTCAGTCGTCTCTTTCACCTCAGCTTTTGTTTCGGGTTTAGACTTCTCTTTGACATCTGATTCAGTCGTTTCTTCGATCTCCGGTTCGGACTCCTCTATGGCTTCTGGTTTGGCCTCCGGTTTGGCCTCTGGTTTGGTCTCTGGTTTAGCCTTTCCTTTGGCACCTGATTTTGCCTTCCCTTTAGTCTTAACCTTAGTCTTAGGTATAGTCACTTCTTCGGCCACTTCTGGAACCGCTTCCTTCGCTTCTTGAGGCTTATCATCAGTTTTATTGAAGTCTTCATTGTATTGATTCTTCAGAGCCTCGAGTTCTTCGTCGGACTCCAAGTCATCGTTTTTCTTGTTTTTCGTTTTGTATTTTTTGGGCATTTTTTAAGTGAATATATATTTACAAAACACACCAAACGTTAAGTAATTTAATTAATAAACACAACAATCGCTAAAATTTAACCGCAATTTAAAAGTAATACTAAATTCAAGCAATCGTTTGACAAACATTTTTAAGTGAATATATATTTACAAAACACACCAAACGTTAAGTAATTTAATTAATAAACACAACAATCGCTAAAATTTAACCGCAATTTAAAAGTAATACTAAATTCAAGCAATCGTTTGACAAACGGCTAAACGATTGTGTGATTGTGTGAACACGTGTTAAGCGTTACGTAAATACTGTCTGAAATGTTTTACTCGACGTTTTCACACAATATTAAAGTTATGCTTAAATTATTCACAATAAATGTAACCATTTTTGTGGGCTTTGTCTTCATTACTATATATTTAAATGCATTCATATTATGGGCACAGAAGAAAAGGGGCAAAAATAGTCGATTTATGATTGACTTCGTTTGTGGATAGAGTTCTATAACAAACAATATTATTGTGTTAACTGTAATGACCTCTACTTTGAGATGTGATTATATTATCTGTAATTTAATATTTAAATTAATTTATTTGTTTTGAGAGCTAATCAAACAGTCGTTAAGTGTTTCAAAATGAGTGACAATGAGAGCCAAGAAGTGGTGGATTCAGAGCAAAGACCGTACGAACACCTCATCACCGATACCACCGATTTGGCCGCTTTTGTCAACCAATTGGTCTCACTTTCGCAAACTTTTGTCTCATTTGAACTAAACTTTATTTCTTTCCCAAAAACAGACTTTAAATGAAACCAATATTAAGACAAATGCATCGAATTTGAGGTAAGCGTTGATATTTGAGACGATTATGGGGTTTGATGTCCAACTCTATTGTCTTTGATCTCTAGAACTGGTTTAGTATACTCTGAAGAGATGTCAGAACATCGATGTCTTTGGGACGACAACTATGAGGAAAATCCAAAACGATTTACACAAACTTTGAAGCGTTTTAAAGAACTGGAACTAATAGATCGATGTCTTGCCCTAACTGTTGGTTGAATGCAAAATATGTTTAACTTTTAAACAACTCATTATTTATTTTATTCTGAAACCAAAGCCAAGACAAGCGACCGAAGAGGAGATTCTACGGATCCATTCAAGCGATCATTTATCTGATATGAAGAGCACTCGAAATGTTGAAGACGTGGAACTTCTTGAGGAGAAGTC